CACTGACCTCAAGTTCCCTAGTTCTATATATAGAACGACGTGCACTGACCTCAAGTTCCCCTAGTTCTATATATAGAACGACCTGCACTGACTCAAATCCCCTAGTTCTATATATAGAACGACCTGCACTGACCTCAAATCCCCTAGTTCTATATATAGAACGACCTGCACTGACCTCAAGTTCCCCGTCTGTCCTTGTTGTCCAGGTGTTTGACCAAGAACTGGACGCCCTGGAGATAGAGACGGTGCAGAAGGAGACGATCCATCCGCGCAAGTCGTACAAGATGAACAGCTCCTGCGCTGACATACAGCTGTTTGCTGCCTACAAGTGGAACGTGGCCAAGCCGTCGCTGCTCGCCGACACCAAGTACGCCCGCTTTTCTCTCACTCGGGGAATCTGCTCTCTCATTTTATGAGGGATTTTTTTTTTTCTTCATCCAGGCGTAACCTTTAGCAGTGTAGAGTGTGACTGATGTGAATGGCTGGAAACAGGCTCCCAGTTCTGTAGGACTGTCTGTGTGAGCTGTCTGTCTGTTCCTCTATGGTCTTGTACGTTTTTTCTCTTTGCCAACTTTTCTTGCCAGAAACTCTCAGTGCCAAATTCCTCCAAAAGTAAGTTGTTGCTGCAAACAAATCCTACCTTTGAATTAACAAAGTTCTGTCCTACATTTTTAGCCGTTTTGGGTTATTAAGACCAAATGTTCTAACTGCTCTATCAAAATCATACGATTATTCCGAGTCATCAAGATATTCAAAGAATTGCATTAGAAAAATTTTGACTTGTTTTGACACTAAAACTTTTTTTTACGTCAAATTTGTCCTATCTAGGTACTGATCAGATAGGACTTTGTTATTCTGAGGTGCGAAATGTTGTCAACCCAGCTCCAAGCACGTTCATGGGGGGAACTGCTGCGTTTTCTTTCCTTATCCTTGCTATTGTCTTTATCCTCCACTTTTGTGTGTTTGTCACTCTCTTGTGACCCGCTATTTCTGGAGTGCCTTGATAGTCGAAGCAGACTTTGTGCTGTTGAGGCTAGAGAGGTGAGCAGAGTAAGTCTGATTCCCTGTTTGGACTTCTCTATTGACATCCACTCATTGTCACTCATATGACCTTATGCTGTTGCGAGGCCCGTAAAACCTCCACTAAAACTAAAACTAAAATCTCCCCCCCCCAGGGACGTGATGGACGGCGCCACCTCCCAGAAGTACTGGCTGGACGTGCAGCTGCGGTGGGGAGACTACGACTCCCACGACGTGGAGCGCTACGCCCGCGCCAAGTTCCTCGACTACACCACGGACAACATGAGCATCTACCCCTCGCCCACCGGCGTGCTCATCGCTGTCGACCTGGCCTACAACTTACACAGGTATAGAACTGGTTTCTAGCTTAGTCACCATGTCACGTATACCTGGCCTACAACTGACACAGGTATAGAACTGGTTTATAGCTTAGTCACCGTATCACACATACCTGGCCTACAACTGACACAGGTATAGTGATGGCTCAACTTTTGTGTGACTTGCAAGTAGACAGAGAAAAGATGATGTTTACCACATGCCCAAAATCTGTCTTTTGTTGTTCATGGCTCAACTGTGCAGGTTCTGTCCCACACAACTCTGTCTACAGATTTGTCTGTCTGTCTGTACTAGTCTGTCTGTCTGTCTGTACTAGTCTGTCTGTCTGTCTGTCTCTACTAGTCTGTCTGTCTGTCTATGTCTACTAGTCTGTCTGTCTGTCTATGTCTACTAGTCTGTCTGTCTGTCTCTGTCTACTAGTCTGTCTGCCTGTGTCTACTAGTCTGTCTGTCTGTACTAGTCTGTCTGTCTGTCTGTACTAGTCTGTCTGTCTGTCTGTACTAGTCTGTCTGTCTGTCTGTCTCTACTAGTCTGTCTGTCTGTCTGTCTGTCTATGTCTACTAGTCTGTCTGTCTGTGTCTTCTAGTCTGTCTGTTCTACAAAACTCTGTCTGCTGATCTGTCTGTCGGCAAAACTCTGTGTTTCCTGGTGTGTCTGTCTGTCTGTCTGTCCCACAAGACTCTTCTGTGTCTCCTGGTTCCTGTTGTAGATGGATGGCCTTCCCTGTCGACCTAGCTGTCCGTGTAGAACCACAGGGCTGTGGGCCCACTTTGTATCGCCGAGTATAGCTCTCCGTGTAGAACCACAGGGCTGTGGACCCACTTTGTATCGCCGAGTATAGCTCTCCGTGTAGAACCACAGGGCTGTGGGCCCACTTTGTATCGCAGAGTATAGCTCTCCGTGTAGAACCACAGGGCTGTGGGCCCACTTTGTATCGCCGAGTATAGCTGTCCGTGTAGAACCACAGGGCTGTGGGCCCACTTTGTATCGCCGAGTA